TGTTTATATATAGTTACTTACACAAATTTAAAATGAAACTTTAATAAATTGTACTTACGCACAATTTATTTCTAATCTTGAATTTTAAGTAATATGAATCAATAAATAGTATTTTATACGTAAAAAATGATTTTTAAAAGTTTTTGTCAAATTCTTTATAATATAGTATATATATATTTCTTTCAGTTAAGATATTGTACTATTTATTTTTATATATCTTGTTTGTATTAATTAACAGTTATATTATTAATGTTTTTTTAATATATTATGTAATGTTAGAAGTCGTTCAAATCAATAATTATTTGTAATGATTTTTTTACTCTAGAAGCATCTCCAATAGCTATCTTATTTTAGAAATTTCTAAAAAGTTTGCTCCAACAATAATGCTAAACTCTGCTCTAAAATGAAGAAAAATAGGAGATAGAAAAAAATCTCCAAATTTGAAAAAAGTATTGCATATTTGTAGCAGATGCTGTTAAAATATTTTCAACAACTTTGTCATTTTAGAAATTCTGAATATTTGGAAAAAGTACCTTTTACCCCTGTATTAAACTATCCACTAAAATAGAAAAAAAAAAGAATAAAGAAATTTCCAATTTTAAAAGAAAAGAGAAAAAAAACATAAGCATCTCCAATAAAATTTTTAAGGGGGTGTTTAGGATTGTTTATTTGAAATAACTTATATTTTTCTATAAAAGCACTTATCAACTTATTATAAGTCAGAAGAATTTAATTTTTCAAAAACTCATTATTATCGATTTGACACCGGTATAAGTTGTTTATCTAAATACTCAAAAGTGCTTATTACTGGTGTCACACTAGAATAAGTCGATAAGTTGTTTTTATAAGCAATCGCAAACACCTCCTAAAATGAAGATTTTTGTTCTAGTAGATTTGCCAAAATAAAAAAGTAGGAGAGATAGGGTGAAATTTTCCAAATTTGAAGAATATACCAAAAAATAATTGCCTATGAAAGAGAAATATTTTTTATTCTTGAGAAAATTACGGATTTGGTCCCTATGGTTTACATTTTCTACCTATAGTGGTCCTAAAATCAAAATGAATACAGATTTGGTACTCTTGATATGCATTTTTGCACCTATTGAGTCCCTCCCTCTCATGAAATCAAACTTCCGTTAACCCAGTTAAGTTTAGAGGCATTTGGGCCTTTTTTCATCTTTTTTGTCTTTATCCCAATAAAATAAAAAGTGTATATATATATATATATATATATATATATTAACATATAGATATATATTATATGTACCTTGTCCCTTCTAGAACTACACAACCACCGTACACCTCACTCTTCCAGCCATTGTTCCTTCGACCATCCTCCCATTCATCTCCAATAACTCCATGTGTCATGGCTTTCAACAAACCGAAAGGGATCATCTATTAAAAATCAAAGCTTTTTATCTCTCATTATCTATTTCAAATGCCTCTAAACTTAATTGGTTTAACGGAAGCAATGTTGGTTGTAGGATTGTAGGTGAGAGATCAAAGGCTTGATCGTTGGATTTCCAGTTCCGGTTAGCAGAGGAGAAGGGGAGTCCCAAGGGGGGGGGTATTCAAATCAAGATCGAGGTTTCAATGGTAAAGCATCACATTGTGTACATGTAAGGGAAGGAAGACTCCAACGGCTTCGAAACCTCCGATACCGGCCCAAATAGCCCTCTCGATGCCATCATCTTTAGAAAACTCCTAAACCCTCAGACCCTAACAAAAATTCCTCTGTTTTTTAACATATCTGCAACCACTCCTTCCTCCCTCCAATCGTACTTGTGATTCCAAATCAACAACCAATAATGAACAAAACTCAACCCTAATAAAAAATCAAGAAAAACACCAACATTGACTAGATATGTATCTGACTGGGGATGTGGATTGAGGTTTGAAAGGGGATGGGTATGTAGATGGAGGTTGAAGATGCAGATGGAGATGGGGCTGGCCGGATACGATTTAGGGAAAAAGAAACCGGGGGAGGGGTGTGTCTATAAATATAACCTTTTTAATTGTTTAATAGGATAAAGGCAAAAAACAGTTAGAAAGACTAAAATACCCCTGGACTTAACTGAGTTTAACATAACCGTTTTGATTTGTTAGAAGGAGGGACTCAATAGGTGCGAAAATGCATACCAAGGGTACCAATTCTGTATTTATTTTGATTTTGAGATCATTATGGATAAAAAGAGTAAACCACAAGAACCAAATCAGTAATTTACTCTTTATAAGAATCCTTAAAATTAAATTTTTAATGAAAAAGATATATAATATTTTATAAAAAATATTAAATATTTTAATAATATAATTTATATTGTAATCTTTGAAATTAAAAAACAATTGAATATAAAAATATTTTTTTTTAAATTTAATTTTAAAGAATATATTAAAAATTGTATCAATATAATATGTAATCTCTATGTGATTTTGACTTATGGGTAGTTTGACAATTGCTGAATGGTTTGATACATAATGATTAAGAGACTTTTATGATATAATGCAAAATAAAATAGAATTGTTTGATAATTGTATACAATGAAATTAGGGATCTTAATGGTTAAGGGAGATCCAATATACAAAATAATTCAGAGAGTTTTAAAACCATTAAGAGACATACTTTTTTTTGCTAAACAAGAGTCACTTCTTAACGATTCACAGATTGTCTATTAATAAAATTATGAAGAGGTAAACAAACAACCCATTGGTTCGACTATTCCAATCTAATAACCAAACACATCGAACGGCCAAAAAACGAGTACAGAAACCACACAGTAGCAGCGGTGGATTCAACACCAACGGAACATAAACAACAGTAAACCAATACGACGTCGTAAAACCGAAAATGACGCCAGTCTGACCTGGCACCTATAAAAAGCCACGTCAAGTTATTATGATGAATGAAATGAGTGCTATTCTCGCTAGATCTGATGGTCCTCCCCTTCATCATCCACCTCAATCACACACTCCCTTTTCACCTCGATTAAAACACACACCACTGTGCGTTACTGTGTGTTTTTGTGCCTGAAAGAAATCCATCATCATCCCATTATAAAACCCTAATTATCTTCTTTCAATCTTGTTCGTCCACTCAAAAAAAATGGGGGAGGTCTGTGTTTGTTTCTGTTCATCTCCATTTTCATTTTCTTAAGCTTTTGATGAAAATATGTGTTTTTCTGATGTGGGTGTCGATTGTTTGTTCAATCTGTTCATCCCCATCTCGATTTTCTTAATTTTTTTGATGAAAAGATGTGTTTTTTTGTTAATGTTTGGTGGTGTTTGATTTTTTGGTTTTTTTTTTGAACTTCAGGAAGTACAGAAGGCGCCGGAGGAGACGAAAAAGCCGGAGGAAGAAGCGAAACCGGTCGCCGGAGATGAGAAGAAAGAAGAGAAGTCGAAAGACCCGCCCCCACCTCCGCCGCCGCAAGAGGTGGTTTTGAGAGTCTTCATGCATTGTGAAGGTTGTGCTAGAAAAGTCCGGCGATGTCTTAAAGGGTTTGAAGGTTTGTTTTCTCTTTAACTTATATATACATATATATATACACACAATTGAGCTCATGTGAGACCATTCTGTTTTCTTGAGACCCGTTACCTTTCGAATATGATATTTTCAAGGTAATTTTTCTCAGGATTTTTTTTTCTTCTGAAAGTGGGTCTCGTAAAACAGGCTGGTCTCACAACAACCAAATGCATATATACTTGAATAACATTAAATGTTCAAAGCAGTGTTTTTGCTAAGAAAGTCAGAAAACCGTTGCATCTTCGCAGTGTTCTGCTGGAAGTTTCAGTGCTTTTATATATATATTGAATTAATTTTTCTTAATTAATGAAATAAAAATCGAAAAAACAGGGGTTGAAGATGTTGTTACGGATTGCAAGACTCATAAGGTGGTAGTGAAGGGAGAAAAGGCAGATCCAATGAAGGTTCTAGAAAGAGTCCAGAAGAAAAGTCACCGGAAAGTCGAGCTTCTGTCGCCGATTCCAAAACCGCCGGCGGAGGAAGTTAAGAAGCCGGAGCAAGAAGAACCTCCAAAACCAGAAGAAAAGAAAGACGAGGTTAATTAATCAATCAATTTCCTTTCTGGGTTCTTTTCTTTTTCTAATCTTGATGTTTAAACTTTTTCCGGTGACCAAATGCAGCCGCCGGCGGTGATTACGGTGGTTCTGAAAGTACATATGCATTGTGAAGGTTGTGCTCAAGAGATCAGAAAACGGATTCTCAAAATGAAGGGTAATTTAATTCACCAATTTCTTTTAGGGAAATTTATAAAAATAACCGGTTTACACAACCCTTTGCCACAAAATAACCACATTTTAGAGGTTTTGCCAAAATAACC